CCAGCCTTGTGAGCTTGCTTATCCAGCTCCCGCCGCCTTCTCCTTTTTTTCATCACCTGTGTGTGTGTGTGTGTGTGTGTGTGTGTGTGTGTGTGTGTGTGTGTGTTGTCATATTTGCTATACACTCAAAAAAAGCACGACTGTGCCAGACTGTTTCATCGGACTTTCACCGACTCATTAGGAGGTTGAGCCCCGACAGTCTGCCCAGGATTCATTTGACTGATGGATAAGGACTCACCACATCGCCAAGAGTTAGCGACATCCCTGAGAAAAGTGGTCGACTTCACTCACACCAACCTTGCAATCCTAGCGGACTGCCGGTCCAAACCCTTGACAAGAACACTTGTGCAATAACCCATGCAGTATGCTTCGTGGAATGCCTCAGGGCCTCGCCAGGCCACATCCAGACCCAGGCCGAAGAGGGGAAAAAGACCCCAGCCAGAGGTTCAGGGCCTGAGCGACCGACAGTTGACCAAAGTCAACTGTCAGACGCCCAACAGTTGACCAAAGTCAACTGCCAGACGCCCAACAGTCAAATTGTACCCAGCCCAGGCTGCCGGTCAGACACACACACTTGTTTGTATGCAGGTACCCAGACAGCATCAGGACCAAGGGAAGTCTGCAACTGTATACAATCCAGGCCCTCGGCTGTGAGTCAATCTGTACAACTGTGGAAGGAGACCCGAGGCCAGACTGCCTCGTCAAACACTACATAAGGCTTGGTCTCCGGGAGGTGAACATTCAGTCTTGCTATGCTGTCTTGACGCTGGCTTGATGCTAGCAGAGCACTGGCTTGACGCTGGCTCGAGGCTGGCTGCACGCTGGCTTGACGCTGGCACTGTGGACGACGACGCGGGACTGTGGCGATATGCTGGCGCGTTTGTTTCTGTGCGCCAGCCAGGCTGACGTGGCGCATGCCACCTGTCTTCATTGCTGATGTGGCGCATGCCACTTGTAAGTCTGAGAAACTAATCTGACACATGTGTGCGAATCATGGCAACCGGCCGGACGTCTGGACCGGAATCCAGACGGTCCGGTTGTCTGGGTATGGGTCCGGTGTCTGGTCCGGTAGGTCTGGATTGGGCCCAATTTTGAAAAATTCGAATTTTTTTTTTGGGGGGGCCTAGGACATTTTTCGGGTCCTAGTCTGCCCCCCAAAAGTGTCCCCAGTATATTTTGGCTGTTTCAGGGCCTACCGGACACCGCCAGACTCTTCCAACAGCTCCATCTGCTGTTGTACTCCACTGGTAGTTCATCAGATGAGGATGAGTCTGATACTCTGATTCC